GGTAAATTAAAGTGGAAAAAAAAAAAAGAATAGAAATTTAGGAATATAAGTTGGGTAACTATTGGTGGACTAGAAAATCTCTATACTATACTACAAAGTAAATATATGTAGTTTTTAACCAAATTTTAATGGCTCAACTCAGGAGAAAGAGTAACAATGTAAAAATATTTTGATAGTTTTGCTCCTTCTGGGGGAAGAGGGGAGGATTAGTTCTGCAAAGCTAATGTATAAGCTGCTGGAAGCTTGTGGTAGAGGGGGGCAATAGCTTAGAACTTGGGCATGTTCTGATTACAGGTGACTTCTGAGAAGTTTGAACATCCTTGGGTAAACTCAAAGTTATGCAGTACTGTGTGTCTCATTGTACAACACTGATATATACAAGCCACCTCCTTTTAGAAGGTTCTATATACTGCACTTAAAGTTTATCAATGAGTTGTTTGGTCATTGAACTCTTTCTGTGTTTTTGGTTACCAGAGAACAGCTTTGTTCCACTTGATGTATATAGGACTGATATACACCAAAGAACACAAGCCTCTGTGTGGATTTCCTTTTGTGAAATTTATAATGAATATGTGTATGACCTATTAAATGTATTATCTACATCAAAAACTCAGAAACGCAGAGTCTTAAGGATTTGCGAGGATCAAGGAGGAAATTCTTATATTAAAGGTAATAATACTGTTTTATGACCTTGGCAGTTTCACAGAACTTCTTTGATGATCAGAGGTGTATGTAAACGGTCTCTTTTCACAGACTTGAAGTGGATTAACATTCAGAGCACTGAAGAAGCCTGCAAAATACTAAAAATAGGTAACAAGAACCGAAGCTTTGCTTGTACTAGAATGAATGAGCAATCAAGTAGGAGGTTTGTTCCTCTAATTATAAGCATACTCTGTCTCCTCTTTTAAGGGGAGGGAGGAGGGGAAGGGAGGAGAAGACTTCAGAATATGTTTGAAATGAGCCACTCTTCAATAACTTTAAGACTTTCCGTGATTATTCTGGTTTTATTATGACATTCTTCCAGAAGAAAGCTAGGGGAGGCCCTGTGGCTTTAATAGTACTGGACTTGGGTTGATATTCATGGCTTTGGACAACCAAAAGGATCAAATCACATTTTTGAATGCCAACAGGGCTATACATCTTGGCAAATGCTAATGGTGCTGAGTGGGAATGGCTGTGTGAGGATGTTGAAGGAAAAGCTGGATAATTCTTCATCACTGACAGTATAATTATTGGAAACCTGGAGTCTGTCAGTAGGGGATGTAGGAAGGAGCAAGTCATGCAGTACCGTTCAGTGCTGCTACATTATCTAGATGCTTTTAGATTGCTGTGTTCTAGCTGAGCTTACTTGGTATCTTAAGGATTAAGCCTCTAGCTCTTACCCAGCTCTGGGAGATGGATCAGGGAGAATCTGGTTTGATGGAGTGAGAGGAAATAAATAGAGGAGGTGGTATACTTCCTGTTGAAAATGCCTCCTTAGTTGATTTTAATGCCCTCTTCTTAATTTGTCCTTTAAGTGTGGAAGAGCTGTGTTGTATATTTAGCTAATATAATCATACTACGCCTGCTTTTTCTCTAAAAAGCAAGAGTTATGCTGTTCTGAATTGGCTAAAGACAGCTGCCATTAAATTTCATGCTATGATTCCACCTGAATTTCACTCAAGCCTAAAGTAGTGCAGAAAAGAACTGTTTTTCTGGTAGAGTTTTGTGCCTAGAATGTCCTCCTTTTGCTCCAGAGAATATGCTGACTTCCACTTAGCTTGTTTCTAAATTGTGGTTTTGTTTGGAGTGTTTGGGGTTTTCTTGTTTTTGTTTGTTTCTTTAGAAAATGCATTCTTAAATTGTGGGTTGGTGCTGAGGAGCAAAGCGCTGCTTTAAATATATACTAGAGAAGTTTGTCTTCTGTGCTTCCTGTTTTACTGGATAAACTGGGGACAGGGCACTTCCAGTTCTGGGATTTTCTCTTTTGTTTCAGAGAGAATGTCCACAGCAAAATTACAGGACTGTCAAACCTTAACTTATTCCCTCCCCCCTATTTATTTGTAAGAAGTTAATTCTTCAGTTACTGAGTTCAGATACTGTCTAAAGTTTGTATGTGAAGTGGCTACCTGAGTACTCATCTTCTGATCAGTAGACTTAAGTGAACCAGCTTGTTCTTTCTCCAAGACAGCTTGTAGGCTTCATGTGATGTTTCTCCCTTTCCTGCATTAAAAGAAATGGAAAGTCACAAACCACAATTTATTGCTGCTTTTTGCTGAATGAATGCATTGCAAAGGTAACTAATGTAAATTAGTGAATTAGTTCTTGTTCTTTCTTCAGCACTGAACTTTCTGTAGCATACAAATTTTACTTTGCTTCAGTGACTGCTTAATTTTCATAATTGTGGTTATTAAAAAGGACTTCTTTCCATTCCAGTCACAGTATATTTTCAATCAGGCTACTAAAGCTAACTGATGAGCATCAGCCACGTGTTCTTGGAGTTTCAGAGTAAGTGAATGCTTCAGCTGATTACCAAAATGTAAATATTTTAGAAAAGTTGATAAGGTGTAAGCATGCTAAAATGGTCAACTTCCTTTTAATAAACCCTGTGGGAGCCGAGAAGGAAATCAGAACTGGTTGCATAAAACTGACTGGAAACCTGATAGGGACAGGCATAGAAGTGTTTCCGTGTCTCTCTTACTCTGTTAAGGTTTGGTTGAAGGAACCTGTTAAAACTCCGTCGGTAATACATACATTGAGGGAAATATATGCATATTGTCTTACGTAACAGGGAGGTGGGAACAGAGTAGTACTATGTAATACCACACTATGTATTCTGGTAATCAGAATTCAAATGGATGGCTAATAGATGCCAATCTCTACAGCTGGAGCACAGCAGCTAGTGCAAGCTATGTCAGTGTATCTTTCTACTTGGGGACCAGACTAGAGTTTATGGGTTGCATGTTTGTGGCAACACATTTGACGTGCTCCTAGAATGCAAATTCAAGTCTGTCATCCAAAAAGAATGCAGGTGATGTGCTCTGGGATTGCTCCATGGTACAATCCACAGTAAGAGGTGATTTGCTTAAGAACTGTTCTGCTGATCTAAAATGCTAATGTAAGTGCTAAGTCCTTACACCTCTCTGTTCTTTTGTGATTTAGAGGAAGTGGCTTGGAGCTGCTTGAAGCCATTTAATAGCTTTTTCATTTCTTTTTTCCCTGATTAATTGTGCATTTAGCTTGATAGGGAAAAATGAGGACAGTCCTGTAACAGAGTGTTTAGTTCAGTCGTGGCTCCTACTGATTTCTCTCTTGTTTCTGCTGAGCAGAGCTGGTAATAAATATACCTCACTGTGAGATAACACCTTTTAATGTCAGATGTTACAGTGATAAATAATCTAAGGAAAGATAACTTGAGAAAATGACTGCATCTGTATTCCGTGCTGTTCCATGTCTTGGTGTATTCCCCTGGCAAAGCTTGCAGCAGGTGTTAGGTGAATGACGGAGTTCGTATGTTGCTTAAGGAAGAAAAAAAGTTCTTCATCTTGTACTGAAAAGGATAAAGATCATAAGATCATAGCCTTTCACACAGTTGAAATACGTGCCTGATTAATATGTACAGTATTAACATGTACTTATTTCAACTGTGTGAAAGGCTATGATCTTACAAAGGTGTTATTTTATGTAAATAAATGTATGTATAAGTGAGTAATAGTTCGGTTACATAAATTATCTAACTTCCAGAGCTTCCTGTATTTCAAAGGCTTTCTTTATATTAAGTAAAAGTAATGAAATTCCTTGATTATCCAAGATAATTGTCTCTGATTGTAACCTATTGTACCACGAGGGACAACTCACTTGCCTGAGTTTAGTAGCACTTAATTGCTATAGCCAAAGAGCCTTAAGGTGATCTGGGAAGGACTTCTGGCCTCTTATTTGCAATATGAAACATTGTTCTGCATCCGAAAGAGGCAGGCTGCAGCATATTGACACCTACTACTATCTTGCAGCTCTATCTTTATCCTCTCAGCGCTGGAACTGGTGAAGGTGACGGTCTCAGTGTTTCTGTAACATAGCCTCGCTATGCAAAACTATTTCAGAAATCCCTCTTGTCTTGTCTGGAAGCATGCACTTTAGGGTTGCAACAAAATTTAGGTTCCTAAACTGAATTCTTTGTGTAAGAATGCTTAAAAAGTTTTAGATGAAGCCTACCAGCAGACTTCTTTGAACGTGCCAGATAGACTGTCTTAGGAGCAGCAATCTTGTTCAAGTATCTTTATGTGCAATGGGAAGATAGGTTAGTGCTGTTTATCCTAAATACCTTGCGTAGTGCGTTTCACAAAAAAATGTCAACATTAAAGTACAACTTGTTCTGTGATCTAGGTAGGCTGAAATGAGTCACTCATTTACACTTTAGAGATATAAAGAAGTAAAAAGACATGCAGTTCTATTTTCATACTGTTTAGAAATAAGTTTGTATGTGTGTTCTGGATAATTCTTTCATGCAGGTTGTCTTTCTGTGACTTGGCTGGATCAGAGAGGTGTAATAAAACACAAGCCTTTGGAGACAGACTAAAAGAAGCAGGAAATATTAATAATTCTCTTCATATCCTTGGAAAATGCATTGCAGCATTGAAGCAAAATCAAAATCCGAAGTAAGTGACAAGTTGTAAACAACATGCCAAGTTTTAGGTTGAAACCCTAAGCATTCCTTTATGTTTCTGCAAGGGATTCACATGGTCAGAGGAAAATACAAATCTACAAAATCTTGTAAGCTGCCTTTTTTCCAGATGCCACTGGAAAATCCCAAATGAACAAAAGGAACGCTTTCTCTGAAACTGTTTTTTTTGTGGAGAACAAAAAATGGGAATTAGCAGCAAACTACCAAGCTTTTTTCAGTGTGTGCATATGAGCAATATGCTTTGTGTACAGATCTCCTGTTTTGTCCTCTTCCCTTCCACCTCCAAATTACACAGGTGGACAATTCTGTATTTAGCCTTTGGCTTGTTCCAGGATCTGTTTTTCAACACTAGGGAGCTGTAATGCAGACACTTTCTACTTCTCTTACTTTTAAATAATTTGTTGTAGAGCTTATGAGATCCAGGAAAGACCTTGCTCTTTGATGTGAAATAGTTTAGGCTTAAATATGAGCATCCTGCTGGTTCTCTTTCCTGAAAGAGAAACAGAATTAACCTAAGTTACAGTATTGCACAGGCCTCTTACAGTTTTTTTGTTCCACAATTTTATTATTCTTTTCTCCATGAGGATGAAGCCAAGCTATATTCCATTCAGAGAGAGCAAATTGACTCGTCTGTTTCAGCCATTCTTTTGTGGAAAAGGCAAAGCTTGTATGATTGTAAACATCAATCAGCATGCTTCCACATATGATGAAACACTGCATGTTATGAAATTTTCAGCTGTAGCCAAACAGGTAAGAGCGCATCTACTTTCTCTGCTATTCTGCATTCTTCATTACTATTGGTTTGTGAAATGATCAGGTTGTATGAACGTGAGTGTGATTAGGACTTTTGATGCATCATATTAATTCTTCTGCATGTGGCTTCCCTCTAAAAGGCTTCTAGTAGTCTTGCCCATCCTCAAACCTATTTGTGGTAAGAAGCTAAGACAGCTGCAGCTGTGTCAGTTCTATACCATAGGCATTCTGTGTTTTTAAAAAAAAAAAAACAGGTAGTCAGGGCACTTTCAGATATGGCTGGTTATACCATATATCTGAGCAAATATAAGATTTTTTCATTCAAGCTTTTGATAAATTGTTTAACCTGTGTGCAGTTAAGCATCTGTTGCACAAGATGACAATTGTTCAAAACTTCTTGGACAGCTAGTAGTGGTAGTAGCTTCTTATTTTGTAGTCTGAATGAGATCTCTTGTGCCTGCATTACTCCTGTTTGGCTAAGTGTGAGTAATTAATAACAAAGAAAAACGGGAGACTTTTTTGTAAGTTAACTCTTGAAGGTAGTGTGCTCCTCTCCTTTGAAGGCAAAAAAACTCTGCTAAATCTACATGCTTTCATGCTTTTTCTGCTAGCTCTGCTTGTAAGCCTTCCATTACATTCAGGACTTGGGGCTGATGTTTGGTCTTAAGTTTATTCAGCTTCCCTAGAAGCTGCCTCTTGCAAGGACTGGGATGGTGAGTTATACTGTGTTTCATGGCATAAATAAAGTCCATTTCTAGTGTGGAACCATGGATTAGTTCTGACACATTCCAAGGCTGTAATGGCATGTCTAATATGATCTGAGAGAAAGACTTTTCTAATTCTGTTCAGCTGCAACTTTCGTCATAAGGTGACGCATGCACTGAGGATCAGCTTCTCTGATATGTTGTCCTATGACACACATACTTAAAATCTTTGACTCGTATGAATTGTTGAATCCTTGTCACAGTATTTCAGGAATGAGCAAATGCTTTAGGGATTTGCGGCTTTTTGGTAACTTTCTAGGAAACCACACCAAAACCTTATATTTTAGGGGGAGAGAAAACACCTTTCTAGACAAGCATGCTGAGTTAGTAGATAATATTTCCCATTTTCACTTTGTTAGAGTGCTAAAGTCTTATATTCGTATGGATAAGTGTTTATCTGCTAAAAGCCGTGTAAAATTTTGTTAACGTTCTTGCAATAATTACACTGTAAATACAACAATGCATTCATGCCACTTCTTCCTAGTATTCTGATATCTGCAATATTGACAGCATTGACAAATCAATGCATTCAACTCTGGATTTTCCAGGTAATCCAGACAACCCTACCCAAAAGTTTTGGTTACTTTCCACCCAAGTTAGTTGGAGGCGATGGCAAACCTGTCATACACTTCGATGCTAACACATCTGTAGATGACTTTCCTGACAGTACTGAAACCTCCGCAGAAGAGGAAGTGGACATCACCATTCTGAGTCATGAGGTAGATACACATCTACTCAAAATTGTACTCAAGAAAGCCATTGCTATTAGTTCTAATATTAGAATCTTTTACCATAAGAGCAGTGCTGGAAGCTGTGTCAAATGGGAACTGTGAGCTTCTGCTCAGTGTCAGGCAGACCTAGACTTAGCGGTCTAGTTCTGAGGGAACAAGTGTAGTTGTGGAAGGCTGCCTGCGGCTTTCTAGTTAGGTCAAGTGCTAAATTTGGAATTCAACTGATTGCTCAACAAGAAGAGTAAGGACGCAGTATGTGTGTTCAAACAACTAAATAATGTTGTTTTATACTCTTTTGGGAACAGCAGGAACAAGTTAAGATGAAGCATTTTTAAAACAAAGCTATATAAGCTAATAGCAATAAACTGTAAAAATCAAGTAGGCTTTATGCTAAACCGTTGTAGAAATTAATATTTAAATGCTAAAACAGTAGTAAACTTTTTGATAGCAGAAACCATCAAGATGGAGAAAGGTTGTGTTTGCAGTAGAAACTGATGTTTGAAAATATTTAACCTTTAGTGCAGCCCCCCCTGAAAATATAGGCTTGTAGAAATGCCCTCTGTGGATGGCTGTCTGTATGAATATTTCATTTGACATGCACACCAATATGTGTTTCTAGCTTGTTTTCTGAACTGAAATATGTTAAATTTAGGATCTCTTGAAAACTACAGAGAACCTAAAGGAGAAGCTAGTTGCAGAAAGGCAAAGTAAACTCCTTCTGGAGGTGAAGATACGTAGAGAGATGGCAGAAGCAATGTTCCGACAGCTGTTGGAAACAGAGGAAGCCTGGAGGCAAGTCATATTGCAGTCCTCTTCAAGACTGAAGGGATTCCACATACATAAATGCATACATTTATATATCTGTATATGTATGTATATACATATGTATATGCATATGTATATGCAAGACATGCATACTCATGTCATTTAGAAAAGTTAGGACTGGACAAACTGTCCAAAGCTTCTGATGAAAAGGGAAGAAGGAACATTAAAATAAACTTGTACAGATCAGCCTCTTCCCATGTAGAATGAAAAAGGAATGCTGCTTTCTGTTGAACTTTTCTCTGTTTAATTTGTAATTACTGGAGATTGTCCTGACTCGTTATTGGTGTTTAGCAGATGTGGAAGACTGTTACAGGTACCCCACTGAGGTTTGTGATAGTTCCGAAACTTACACTTGGTCATGTTACTATGCATGCATGAGCTTAAGGTAGTTTGGTAGTTTGAAATGTATCTCTTGGAGCTCTCCTGGATTCTTGCTCCTGGGTGACTTATGAGCCATTGTTAGCTTACTATCTTATAAATTACTGTGGCTGCCTGCACTGATGTTACTCATTTGGGGATTTTTTTTCAAGTGTGTCCAGATTGCTCAAGCAGAATTCACTTCCTCTTAAATCTTCTCTTCCTGAAATCAGTTTCCTGCCGTTTGAATTGCTAACAGAGACTAACCCCATGTTAAGTTGCCAGCTGAACATACTATGGTTTAACACCTGCACTGACTTTAAAATTGTTTGGGTGCCTTTGGCCAAACATGTGAAACAGCAGTGATGCTTTTTGTCTGTTGAGGTGATGTTCTGTGTCACTGCTGGGGAATTTTTTTAAAATTGTGACAGGAGTAATGTGTAATGTATTGAAATAATAAGGCAAAATGAATTTGGCATTTATCGTTAATGGAGGAAAAAAAAAAGAATAATGTGAAAGACAGTGCCTAGAAATATGCTTCAAATATCAGGCCTAATTGGGTGTAGCCATATCTATCGCTACATGTTGGTGGATTTTTTTAATAAAACTTTTGTTTGACAGATCTTAAGTATGTGTTCTCCTATAGCACTTTTCTTGGTATATGGCAAGTAGAATTTATGCCTTGGGGCAAGTCTGTATGAACATTAAGAAATGAAAAGGAGAAACGTGAGGAAAGTACTTCTTGGTCTCTTAAGTTTGCTATTTATGATTAGATAAATAACTTTGATATTGCCACTTGAACAGATGTAATCAAATTGTAATTGCTGGAATGCTAATATATTAAATAAAACTAACATGTTCTCCTCAGCAACCGCTTGGAAGATATGAAAGACAGTTTTGAAGAAAAATTGGAGAGCAAATTTGAAATGTATAAAGAGGCCATCAAGAAACATGCATATGCATGTGCAATGGAACAAATTGAAGACCATTATGTTCCTATAGAAGAATTTCTAGCTGAACAAGAGAAAGTTGAGGTATGACTTGACTGCCGCTAAAAAAATGCCTGCTAGCCTCTTAACTGTAAATTTTGCTTTCCCTTAACAGAATCATTCGGGAATCCTAAATGTAACACTGAACAGTCAAAATAACTAGCAGATCAG